GGAGGGCACCAGGCCCCAGAAGCCCAGCTCCTCCATCACGTCGGCCAGGCCCAAGGAGGGCACCAGGCCCCAGAAGCCCAGCTCCTCCATCACGTTGGCCAGGCCTGAGGAGGACACCAGGCCCCGTGGGTGTCACACACTCAACCCCAAGCAGTGGGATGCAAGAAGGAGACAGAGGGACCTGCCCTGGTCGCTCCAAATGCTCCTATACCCAATAATTCCATGCCTGTCATAGCACACAGGCATGCATTTCTGGTGTCATTAAAGAAATATGATCTGTGCCGGGCGCGGTGGCTCACGCCTGTAATCCCAGCACTTTGGGAGGCCAAGGTGGGAGGATCATGAGGTCAGGAGATCGAGACCATCCTGGCTAACACGATGAAACCCCGTCTCTACTAAAAATACAAAAAATTAGCTGGGCGTAGTGGTGGGTGCCTGTAGTCCCAGCTACTTGGAAGGCTGAGGCAGGAGAATGGTGTGAACCCGGGAGGCAGAGGTTGCAGTGAGTTGAGATCGCGCCACTGCACTCCAGCCTGGGTGACAGAGTGAGACTCCAACTTAAAAAAAAAAAAATACATATATATATATAAAATCAAGTGCCAGGGCAAGGTAGAGCCTCAAAGAACAAAGTCCAGAAAAAGGGACCTGTTCCTCCCCCAAGTGCTGGTCCACAGGAAGAGCCCTGGCTGCCGGGGAGCCCAGGGCCAGAGCCCAAGGGCGGCCTCACCCGGTGGCAGGTTCCCTCAGAAGCCCCACGAGTCGTCTCCACCAGCCCCTCAGCTCGAGCACTCAGGCTCCTTTCAGGAGCACTTGTCACATGAGGAGCTGTGCACAGGACACACGGTCCCCTCCTCACACCACCCACCCGCATTTCCAGCTGAGGACACAGAGGCACAAGCAGTCACGTGCCCCAAGCCACTCAGTGGGGACAGCATTCAAAGGCTAGGCTCTCAACCACACCCTATCGCCAGATGCAAAGCTGACCACTGAGCAGTGTGCTCCAATGCAGGAAGGTGGGGGGTACACTCCTGCCTGTCCCTAAAGCCACTTGGGGCAGATGTGCCTTTGTAGGCTGGAGGCGGTCCTGCCAGCTCCTGCTGAAGTCACACGTTTCAAACTTTCAGGGCCAGAAGCACCCTTATTTCAAATAAAACCTCTGAAAGTGCAAATATGTAATTGTGACACAATAAAAAATAAATATTTGGCCCCGGCCCCTGTTCCTGACACGGAGTCCTCTAAAACCCTTGTCATTTCCTGAGCGACAGGCGTGCTACGAGCGTCTTTTTTCTATTATTTGGTCCGTGATCTTTGCTTCCGACACAGAACTCCAAACCCGCGGAATGTCCTGGGTGGCAGGAACGTCTATGTGTCAGTGACGCGGAATGTCCTGGGTGGCAGGAGCGTCTTATGTGTCAGTGAGGTGACTCTCGGCTCCTGTATGGGGCTGGCCGCCAGAAAGACCAAGCCAGGATTAGAAACTTGGAAATGTCGTCGAAGAGCTCCTGAGGAAAAACAAACAAAAACCTGGGCCAGGCGGGCCGGGCTGGTGGCTCACGGCTGTAATCCCAGCACTTTGGGAGGCCAAGGCAGGTGGATCAACTAAGGTCGGGAGTTCGAGACCAGCCTGGCCACCATGGAGAAACCCTGTCTCTACTAAAAATACAAAACTAGCAGGGCATGGTGGCACACGCCTGTAATCCCAGCTACTCGGGAGGCTGAGGCAGGACAAGCAATTGAACCTGGGAGGCGGAGGTTGTAGTGAGCCGAGATCGCGCCATTTCACTCCAGCCTGGGCAACAAGAGTGAAACTCCGTCTCAAAAACAAACAAAACCACTTTGGGAGGCCAAGATGGACGGGATCATGAGGTCAAGACATCGAGACCATCCTGGCCAACATGGCAAACCCCTCATTCTCTACTAAAAATACGAAAATTAGCCAAGCGTGCTGGTGCATGCTTATAGTCCCAGCTGCTCAGGAGGCTGAGGCAGGAGAATCGCTTAAACCTGGGAGGCGGAGGTTGCAGTGAGCCGAGATCGCGCCACTGCACTCCAGCCTGACCAACAGAGTGAGGCTCTGTCTCAAAAAAAAAAAAAAAAAAAACCTGGAACTGAATTTCAGCCAAGCCCCATCCTCCAGGGAGGGGACAGGGCCTGAAGACATAGTTAATCATCAATCCTGCCTACGTGATGAAGCCTCCAGAAAAGGCCCTGAAATACGCGGTTTTCGGGAAAGCTTCCGGGTTGGTGAATACGAAGGTGGCACGCACCACCCCTTTCCCCACACCTCGCCCTGTGAACCTCTTCATCTGGATCCTTTACAATCAACCAACAAACATCAGCCAAGTGTTTCCCTGGCTTCTGTGAATCGCATCAGCAACTGACCAAGCCTGAGGAGTGGGCTGTGGGAGCCTGATTTACGGCTGGTTGGTGAGAAGTTCAGGTGGCAGTGGGGGCTTATGACTGGCATCTGAAATGGGGCAGTCTTGTGGGACTGGACCCTCCATGTGCTGCACAAACTCCAGGCAGCATCGGAACTGAAATGAGTCACAGGACCCCAGCTGGTTCCCGCAGAGAAGAGGCGAGTCCCTGAGGTGGGAGAAGCCCCTCACATTGTAGTAAAGTCCTGGGAGTATGGTAAGAGAGCAGGGATTCGTTTTCTCCCTCTGGTTACTAAGGCAGAGAGAAGCCTCCCCAAGGAGTCCGGGGACCCCCAGCCCAGCTGCTGCCAGCCGCCTGCGGGACTCACACTGCCCTGCCGTTCAGGAACTCCTCCGACGCCTGGCAGTAGATGGTGATGGCCACACGGGCATCAGCGTCGAAAGTGAACTCCAGGCTGTAAAGCACCCGGGGCTTGTCGCCATCCTCGGTGGGGCTGTCAGCGTCGTCTTTGTACCTACCCCAGGCGGTGGAGAGAGGTAGCGGATCAGAGGCCACATCCGCGGAGGCTGCCTCCTGCCCTGCCAGGCTGAGGGCCGTGGAGGCGGCTTTGTGGACACAGCCCACTTCTCCAGCAGACATGGGGGCCGTTTCCTATTTGGACATGAAAGCCCAATGGTCCAGGGCTTGCCTCTCCTTCTTCCTGCCCACAGAAGACGGGGTACATGCTTTTGGTTCAGAGACAGCCCCAGATGCCTCAAGTCTAGTTGGTTTAGGCAGTTTCTGAACCTACTGAAATCTGGTGCTCGGTCATTCCTGGCAGTGGGGGGGCCGTCCTGTGCATGGCGGGAAGTCAGCACCCCTGGCACCCACCTGAGATGCCAGGGCACCCCACCTGGCTGCCTCCAGACACTGCCCAGGGTCCCTGTGAGGCACAGCGGAGAAGCCCTGGCTAAATGGCTCTCTTTCCACATGCCCTTTCCCTCACTCAGCCCAGGGCAGCCTCTGATTCCACACGGGAGGGTGCAGAAACTGGGGCCCCTCCCACCTGCCCTTTTCCTCAAGCAAGCCAGAACCTCTGCCCCGGGCTGCGCCCACAGAGCCACAGGGTCCCCAGGGGCAGGGCGAAGGTTACCTCACCAGCCGGAGGGAGTCTTTGCGGATGTTCACCAGGCTCCGCAGCGTCTTCACGGGCTCGTGAGGGGCAGGAGTGACGTAGGGAAACTAGGAGGAAAACCACAGGGCCGCAGGTGACTCCCTCAGGAGCGGCCAAGGACAGAAAACGGGCCAGGGTGCAGCGGCCACAGCCCCAACGAGTATCCCTGGGTTCTCGTCTCCGTGTTAGAGGCTGCGTGGGTACGCTGTCCTCATTTACAGGTAGAAGCTGCAGGCCACACAGCCCGCACATGCAACAGCCAGGACCAAACCACCCTGAGCAAATCCGGCCAGGCAGCCTCAACGCCCGATTCCTGCACGCTGGGGCCGCCCATCCCCAACCTGCTCTCCCAGGCTTCCCACATCCATCACTGCCCGGAGCAACCTCAGCCCCTTCCTTGGGCCCCACCCTTTCCATCCTCAAAGCTTCCTACGAGCACCCCCACCCCAGGCTGAGCCCCCAGATCCCCCAACGTTTACTGGCTCCTCCGGCCTCCTGTCCCCCAAGGCCTGCACCCTCTCACCTCCTCCTCTGTTCCCAGGGCCCCCGCCTTTCTGCTCCTCCTGGAGGGGCCTTCTTCCCACCTATCACGGCTTGGTTCAGCCACGGCCTCTCCAGTGGCGTCTCCCTTTCTGCCCTTTCTCTCTTCTACCCATTTGTCCTGTGTTAATTGTCTATACTCCCACTAGGTAGCAGAGGCGGGGTCTGCCTTCACCCTAGGCCCTGGGAGAGTGCTAGGCACACAGCAGGTGCCAAACGTGTGCTGAACAAACGGACAGCTCACAGTCCTCGCGTACTATGACAGTGTTCGAATGTACCCTCCTCTGGCAACGAGGGGAAGATATTAGCCAGCTGTCTGTATCTCTCCTTTGGACCATGTCTCTTGCCCACTGTTCTAGGGAAAGTCAATTTTTTTTTTTTTTTTTTGAGACAGCCTCCCTTTGTTGCCCACGCTGGAGTGCAGTGGCGCAATCTCGGCTCACCAAAACCTCCAACTCTCAGATTCAAGTGATTCTCCTGCCTCAGCCTCCCGAGTAGCTGGGATTACAGGCACAAACCACCACGCCCGGCTAATTTTTTTTTTTTTTTTTTAAGTAGAGACAGGATTTCACCATTTTGACCAGGCTTGTCTCAAACTCCTGACCTCAGGTGATCTGCCCGCCTCAGCCTCCCCAAGTGCTGGGATTACAGGCATGAGCCACAATGCCCGGGGTCTGTAAATACTATTTTTCCTTTTAAAGAAAGTCATCCAAGAAGGCTGGAATCAAATCCACAACGTTCTGCAGCCGTTGCAACCCAGATACACCCGTTCAGTATGGCTGCTCTGTTTCGCAGTGACCTGCCCCTGGCCATCTGGCCTCTAAGGGGCAGCACCAGGACACCCCATTCCAGGGCATGTGTCCACACCCAAGCTCAACTGGAACCCTGTCAGGAGCTCTGCCCCATTTAGGGGTGATTTGGTGCCCGTCTGCCCTCATGGCTGGGATGCAGACCACTGGGGACAGGGTCTCCCACCCCCGCAGCCCAGTGAGAGCCCTGTCCAGACCCACCTGGACTGGGCGGCTGCCCAGGAAATTCAGGTCCATGTTCTCTCCAAAGAGGTAACCTTCAGGGTGGGGGGTGTCAAATTTCTCTCCTCCCATGAAAAAGTGCGAAGCAAAGTAGTTTCCTGTTTAAAAAAGGAAACACAATTATAGATTGGTTTTTTGCTTCTGAGATGGAGTCTCGCTCTGTCACCCAGGCTGGAGTGCAATGGCGCAATCTTGGCTCACTGCAACCTCCACCCCCTGGGTTCAAGCGATTCTCTGCCTCAGCCTCCCGAGTAGCTGGGATTACAGACACGTGCCACCATGCCTGGCTAATTTTTGTATTCTTAGTAGAGACGGGGTTTCACCATGATGACCAGGATGGTCTCCAACACCTGGCCTCAAGTGATCCGCCTGCCTCAGCCTCCCAAAGTGCTGGGATTATAGGTGTGAGCCACAGTGCCCAGCCTGGAAACACAGTTATAGACTCTGAGGCTGAACACAGCCCGGTGGGAACATCTGATGGCCAAGGAGCCCAGTCCTGAGAAAGGCTCCACCTCAGGGGAGCTGGTGCAGACAGGCCAACGGGCGTTCCCCACATCTTCTGCCTCGGCCACCTGGCCTCAGGCCTTCCAAGGTAGCCTCCTGACCTCCCCACACCGCCAGCCTCAACACTCTTCCCTGGACGGCTCCTCACTGCTCACAGCCCGTCAGCCAGCCCCCAGCTCCAACACCGCTTTTTTCTGTGGTGGCCTGAGCTGTGTTCCCGATGAAGACAAGTTTGGGTCCTACCCCACATCCACCCCCTACTTGTGCATGTGACCTTATTTGGAATTAGGGTTTTTGCAGATGTAATGAAGTTAAGATGAGGTCATACTGGATTGAAGGGCTTAAATCCAGTGACTGGTTCTTAACAGAAGGAAGAAGAGGGAGGTTTGGACGCAGACTTGTATGAAGGGAAGACCAAGGGAAGAAAGAGGCAGAGACTGCAGTGATGCGGCCACAAGCCCAGGGATGACAAGGAGTGCCTGGGGCCCCAGGAGTGGGGAGAGGTAAGGAAGAGCCCTCCCCAAGTGCCTTCGGGGGGCGTGGCTCTGCTGACACCTCGGTTTCCGACATGTGCCTCCATGACGGTGAGAGAATACATTTCTGCGTCTTAAGCCACGGTTAGAGGTCATTTGTCACAGCCACCTGAGAAATCCTTACACATTCCCTGACCCCAGACTAAGTCACCCCAAATCTGAGCCCTGTGTACTTTCCATGTCAGCATCAAGCCCGCTTTAGAAGTCTCTGTGGATCTGGACTAGTTCGTTCAGTCTGACTCCCGCGTGAGGGCAGTAGGCTGTAGGTGGCACCCATCAGCACCCTAGCACACTTAGGCACGAGATCTGCGCTTCTCCTATGAGGAGGGGATGAACAGCTGGGCAGCCTCAGAGACCTGCACTCAGAGCCCTGCCGAGGAACACTGAGAGTATGGCCTCTCCCCTGGATTCTTGACCTCACACCCAGATCCAGCCCCGTTTCTCCCGGCACACAGTCCCTGAGAGGAGGGCCCAGGTGACCACAGGAGCCTGTAGATTTCAGGGATGCTCAGACTACATGGTCCTCAACCTCACGTGTTGCAGGGACTTCCGGGAATTCTCAGAATCCCCACTGGGGGCCCCAGAATCCCTATTCCTTCTCAGAATTCCCACCTGAGGCCAGGTGGGCTCTTCCCGGGGCCCTCAACGGGAATTCTGAGACCTTCAGGCCCTGCATGGCCTGTGTCCTTCCTGAGAACCACGGCTCCAGTTACAGTTAGCCCAGCCACGGCCAGCAAGAGTAGCTGGGCCCAAACCATGAGTCCGGGATGCTCCTCCCGAGGGAGGTGGCCCAGAGCTAGGTGCCCAGCATAGCTGCTCCTGACTGCCAGGAACGGTGGGCAGGAGCCACAGCCCCACCTAACCCCCCATGCAGAACAGGGACCACTGAGAGGTGATGACGACCAGAAAACAAGAATAAAGCGGCGACTACTTCAGCAAGTGGGACGGCCTGATTTTATGGACCATCACGCAGCTGCTGGAACCAAGCTGATCTAGACACACCGACGTGGATTGAGTCACAGAAATGTGCAGGTTAAAGAAAACAAGTTAACACATTGCAAGATCATTTTCTGAGGGGTCACTGCACACACTGAGATGTGCACAGCACAAATTGTGAATACACAGAGAATGTTCTGGAAGGTCACACCCACGAGGCTGCCAGGGAAATTGGTGCAGAGCAGATGAGCGGTGGAGCAAAGCCCATGTGGTGGTTTTAAATCAAAAGAAAGAATACCTGCAGTACAGGTGAGCCCAGGATGCCTTCCCCAATTACCTGGGCCCTGCACGTAGCCCCACCACATTGAAAGCTTCATTGCATCTTAATACCCTAAGTCTTTAAAGGTGAATTTTCCACACGGCCTGTGGGGGGTCCGGGGGCCACAAGGCACACCGTGCCTCAGGACCTGGCGGTCTCCAGACGCTGGCCTCAGGCTTGGTCGGCCTTTAGCTCACCCAACCTCAAGCCCAAGTCATGCAGCAGGGCTGAGGACGGGCCCGGCCCGGAGCCACCTGCCTGACCTCCAAGACACACACCATGGCCATGAAAACCACGGGAACCCCCCGCACCAGCCGCTGGCAGACAAGGGCCACAGCAGCATGGCAAGAGGGTGTGGGAAGCCCGCTGACCCTGCTGACCAGTCCACGACCCATCACTGGCGGCACCCTCAGCAGTGACCAGTCCCCACCCTTCCAGGCGCTCCCTAGGGCTGACGTAGTAAGGTGGGGTCCAGAAGGGCAGGCAGCCTTGGTCTGGAGGGAGACTCAGGAGTGGGCTTGTCCCTGCGAGGCCTTCCAGGCTGAGGCACCGGGAACTCCATGACCCCAGGCAGGAGACAGGTCCCTGGTCCAGAAGCCTTCTGCTCCAACCTCCTCCCAGGGCACCCTCAAGGCACAACCACCTTGTGTCCCAGAAGCCCTCTGAGTTTGCTCTCTGTAGGCAGAAGACGAGCGAGGTGGCCAGCCTCCACGAGGGCCCCCAACGCATCTCACCTCCCAGCTGACACGTCTCTGGGCAGACTGCACCCACACCGAACAGGGCTGACCAGGTGACCAGTGAGACCTCGTGAAAATGGTGTGTGGCTTCTAAGGCTCTGGGGCAAGCTGCCACGGTGCTGTGAGGACACCCAAGCAGCCCCATGGAGAGGTCCATGTGGGGAGGACCCGAGGCCTCCTGCTAAACCCAGCACCAGCATGCCGTGCCTGTGAGCCAGGGAGGCAGCCCCTCCGTGCCCAGGCAAGCCCTCAGATGACCACAGCCCACCCACAGCTTTTTTATTTTTTGAGACAGGGTCTTGCTCTGTCACCGAGGTTGAAGTGCAGTGGCACGATCACCGCAGCCTTGGACCTCCTGAGCTCAAACAATCCTCCTGCCTCAGCCTCCCAAGTAGCTGGGACCATGGTGTGCACAATGCCTGGCTCATTTTTGTTTATTTTTTGTAGACACGGGGTCTCACTATGTTACCTAGGCTGATCTCAAACTTCTGGGCACAAGCAATCCTCCCACCTTTGCCTCCCAAAGGCCTGGGCTTACAGGCGTGAGCCACCGTGCCACAGCCTGAGCGAGGACTCATGAGTGATGGTGAGCCAGAGCCCCCCAGTTGAGCCACTCCCAGTCGTGACCCACACCGTGAGGTAGTAAGTGCTGTGCTAAGCCACTCAATTTTTAAGGAGTCACCCAGAAAGAGACGTCGAATCTTTCTGAGATGTGGTCTCAGTGACTGTCATTCTCTTCTCCTGGCTCCCAGTTCAACTTCATTTCTATAGTCACAGTCCTGGTTAGAGTCTCTGGCACCATCTGTCCTGTGACTGTGCCCATTTGCCAGTCTCCCCACATCTCCTGGGACCCCAGGTCTGTTTCTGGACCCACTGCCCTCAAAACCCTGCTGGTGTCCCAGCCACACTGGGGCAGGTCGCAGTCTCCCCGCAGCCTCCGAGGCCTCAGACAAGGCCATTCAGCCAGCCCCGGCCCGCTCACACCTCGGGGCCCTGGAGCCTTCAGATCATCCAGCTCTTCCCTGGAGCTCCGGCTCCACCTCAAGCTGCCCTCTCCACAAGACCTCTTCTGACACCCCTTTTACAACTTGCCAAGCCCCCAACACCCCCGCTTGCTGACCAACCTTCCCACTCCCCTTTCCGGCCTTATTCTTCTCCACAGCACTTTTCAGCCTGGTGTTCTAGATGGGAGGCTCTAAGATCTGACGGTATACAGATTTAGAAAGTAATTAAGCTGGGCCGGTGGTACATGCCTGGGAGCTTTGGAAGATCAAGGTAGGAGGATCACTTGAGCTCCGGAGGTCAAGACCAGCCTGGGCAACATACAAAGACCCTGTCTCTACAAAAAAATTCTTAAAAATTAGCTGGGCATGGGGCCGGGCGTGGTGGCTCACGCCTGGAATCCCAGCACTTTGGGAGGCTGAGGCGGGAGGATCACGAGGTCAAGAGATCGAGACCATCCTGGCGAACCCGGTGAAACCCCGTCTCTACTAAAAAAATACAAAAAACTAGCCGGGTGAGGTGGCCGGCGCCTGTAGTCCCAGCTACTCCAGAGGCTGAGGCAGGAAAATGGCGTGAACCCAGGAGGCGAAGCTTGCAGTGAGCCGAGATCGCGCCACTGCACTCCAGCTCGGATGACAGAGCAAGACTGCGTCTCAAAAAAAAAAAAAAAAAAAAAAAATTAGCTGGGCATGGCGGCGCATGCCTGTAGTCCTAGCTACTCAGGATACTCACTGAGACAGGAAGATCGCTTGAGCCCAAGAGTTCGGGGCTGCCGTGAGCCATGATCACACCACACTGCACTCCAGCCTGGGCAACAAAGCAAGACCCTGTCTCTCTCCCCCTCACCCCCACCAACTCTCTCTCTCTCTCTATATATATATATATGCACACACACACATATATATGTATAAATAACTTCAGAGAAACAAACGCTACAAACTAAAACACCTGCATAGGTAATAAGTGATTATTAATTTTCTCCTTTATCTTTTTAAAATTAAGTTTTCGGCCGCGTACGGTGGCTCACACCTGTAATCCCAGCACTTTGGGAGACCGAGGAGGGCGGATCAAGAGGTCAGGAGATCGAGACCATGGTGAAACCTCGTCTCTACTAAAAATACAAAAAATTAGCGGGGCGTGGTGGCGGGCGCCTGTAGTCCCAGCTACTCAGGAGGCTGAGGCGGGAGAATGGCGTGAACCTGGGAGGCGGAGCTTGCAGTGAGCCGAGATCGCGCCAGTGCACTCCAGCCTGGGCTACAGAGCGAGACTCCATCTCAAAAAAATAAAATAAAATAAAATAAATAAATAAAATTAACTTTTCTACAATTAACATGTATCATTTCTAAAATAAGAAAAATTATTTTTAAAAGATCAGAGACAAGGAAGAAGGGTGTTGTTAAAGCAATAGTTGTAATATCACAAAACTGGAATCATGTTCTAGAATGAGATCAAGGTAATGGTTGCTTGACTGAATATACCAAAAATCACTGACTTGTACGCTTTGAAAAGGTGACCCTGATGGTAGTGAATTTCACTTCAATAAAACTTATTAACAACTAGAAGGTGATGAATAATTACTTTTTTATACTAGCTTTTTATGTCAATTTTTGGCAAGCAACTTGGAATTAGACACTATTGTTACACAAAAATCTTGCTAATTCCTATCTAATTGATGTTATCAAGGTTTCTCAACTTAAAAAACAGAACTAGCCCAGGTGCGGTGGCTCACACCTGTAATCCAAGCACTTTGGGAGGCCAACGTAGGTGGATCACCTGAGGTCGGGAGTTCGAGACCAGCCTGACCATCATGGAGAAATCCCATCTCTATTAAAAATACAAAATTACCCAGGCGTGGTGGTGTATGCCTGTAATCCCAGCTAATTGGGAGGCTGAGTCAGGAGGATCACTTGAACCCGGGAGGCAAATGTTGCGGTGAGCTGAGATTGCACCATTACACTCCAGCTTGGGCAACAAGAGTGATGCTCCATCTCAAAAAGGAAAAAAAAAAGAAAAAAGAAAAAGAAAAAGGCCGGGCGCGGTGGCTCACGCCTGTAATCCCAGCACTTTGGGAGGCCGAGACGGGCGGATCACAAGGTCAGGAGATCGAGACCATCCTGGCGAACCCG